GGGGTGTGGCATGCCACACCTGGGGGGTCGCAGCGAGGGGCAGCGAGGGGGGCGGGGGGTATCGAGGTGTCATTGATGTTAGCGATAACATGATATTTATTTATTTATTTATTTATTTTGTGCTTTCATAGATGCTCCTGACGAACGTGGTTAGTGCAAAAAAAGCAAAAACAGAACAACAAATAGCCAATCATAGACGGTGTCTCCAGCAGCCATAGTGGATCCAAATTTAGAAAACAGCAAGCTTAGCCCACTAATTCAACAGCATAAATCATGGTGTGAAAGCCATGAGCGAATCACTTTCAAGCGAATCTAAAGAGGAAGCACAAAAGCAAATGGGCGAATCCATGCGTGCTTGGCGAAGGACCTCGTTCGACCATATTCGTTAACAATGTCAAACAGGTCCATCATGCAAAACACTAGTTCACTGATGTTTTGGCCCACCATCGTATACGTGTAGTAAGCGTAATAAGACCCTAAAAGCACAAGGGCATCGTTTTCGTAATTAGCATGTCAAACAGCCACTGTGGGCCAAGCTTCAGCGGATTTTGAGCCTCTCAAATGTTGGGCCACCCGAGTGAGATGGTCATTTTCGAATACGTTAACTTTGTTTCAGTTGAGTACTTTTTTGTAATAACTCAAAACAAAGAACTACTATTTCTTTGCTTGCATACGATTCCCACTTCAAATAACCTCCAAACTATGGAATTGTGAGCAAGCCAAAATCTCATTTGTCTTATTTTTTGCTTGTACCTCAGACTAGAAACGACCAATCAAGCTCAAATCACTTTTGTGAAAATGAAAGGTTTAGGTTATCAAAGATATTTATTCCTGCCGGTTCCCCTGGCAATTCACGTAGTAGTGCAGACTTAGCATGTTACTACTCACTATTTTTTATTTTTTAAATTTATTTTTCATTTTTCATACATTTTCTATTTGCATGGGCAAGGGAAAACGATGATCTCATCCTCTAAGAGAGACGATTTCAAATAAAATTAGTACTATATAGAGAAGAAGGTTTGAAAGTGAAAACGATATAAAAAAACAAATATTTGGATGATTTGAAGGTAAGTTTATGAGGTGTGGCACAACTCATATAAAGCTATGGTAGCCACAGCTTTCCTGGGGTTGTGCCACACCCCATTAACTTACCTCCGAAGAGATTTTTAGCGAACGAAAAATTAGATTGCCTTAAAAATAATTTCGATCGTTTTCAGCGGTTTGTAGAAATGTCACAAATTAGTCTTTGTGTGTATATAAGGTATCAGTGGAAAGAGCAAATCAAGGAGAATCGGACAATCTACTCTGTTTTCTCAAAAATAATGTTCATGATAACGAGATAGAGCAGGAAACAAGAGTGGTCAGATCTTTTCATCAAATTTTCAAAAAATTATGCTCCGAAAAGGGAACTGAAGTCAGGTGTTAAATGTAAATTTGGCGTCCACATAACAAATCGTCCCCAAAAAAACTTGCAAAGTTAGGCTAAAATCCAGGATAGCATCTACGGTACAGTAATTCCACATGGTGGGTCATGATTTAAATATTGCCAAGTGACTACTATTTTGAAATACGTTCGTTTCGGAAGTTCTCTTACGATTTGAATTTAGAATTATCTTCCACGTTTCTAGGTTTCTTTTGAGAATTACTGTAGGTATACCGTCAGTGACTATTTGCGTGATTTTAGCCTAAATTTTTCAAGTTCTTCGTGAAAGGCAGACAATTTAAAATGAACGTTGTCTTCAACGTGTCAGCACTTAGTGGTTTCTGCATATGTTAAAAGGTGTCACTCGGAAAACAACTACAGTATTCTTATAATGCTTGCGTACTGGCAACTAGGGTCGAGCAGAGATGTGGCACGCAACCGCCATATACGACCCCCCCCCCCCCCGCCTCCCTCCTCCCCCTTAAAGGCACCGTCCACCCAAATTCTCGACTTACATGTTTTTGTCTCTTCCGGGCCTTATGAAGGCCCTGATTTCGAATATGAAGTCGAGAATCCCAAAAACCCCCATTTTGGAGAAAGCGGGACGGGTGTAAGTGCAGTTTGCAGGGCTGCGGCGCGGTTATCGCCCGGCGTATATCAACGCCGCAGCCCTCAAAGCTGCAAAATGGGCGGAGTGACCACCTTTGGATCACGTATCACGTACCTTCCAGAGCGGATTTCTCGCTCCGGAAGCAACCTTTTGCGGGGAATTTTGGGGGTTGGCCTAGTGTGGGGGCCCACATTAGTATGCCATTGAATTTCGTGAACCCTCACTTTGGGTGGACGGTGCCTTTAAGTTCTGTCTCAGTAGCCTTTAACGATTATTGTTTGCCTACCGTAAGCATGGCTTTGAGGCTCTACTAAGCATAATTGGTAACAAATGCGTACTAATCGCGTTAAATAACTCCCCATGGGCCAAGTTTTAGCGAATTCTGAGGATTTCTAATTTGGGGCCACCCAAGTCAAGTGCTCACCTTTAAATGTCGTCAACTGTACTACAAAAGCGAATTAGCTACTTTTTTTGTACTCAGCACAAAGCACTAATCACTGTTTGCCCGTACCTTGAATCCCGCTTCAGATAACCGCCAGATTATGAAAGGGAGAGCCAGCCAAATTCGTTTGTTCCATTTTTAGCTTACACTGGTTTTGAATCCATCAACTATAACTTAAATAATAAAAGGACGAATTAAGTCTAATAAACAGAATAATTTTGGCTATCGACCTGTATATATGAGGTTGGCTGAAAATATTTGAGTCAGTTTTGACATGCAAATAAAGCTTCATAACATACGTAACAGCTATTCAGCCAAGGTTTTTTTTCGTGAAAAACTTCAAACCTTTACCCTCAATTATCAAGTAGTCAAGGATTTCCGTCGTCACAAATGGCACTTATGCGGTCATATGGTCAGACTTCTGAATAGCTTTTGTGATTTTTTGACTCTCGTTCCCAGCCTGTACTGGGTACACAGGTGAATAATCTGGTGGGTTATGACTGGATACATAAAGCCTCTGGCTACTTGGCGAGCTACAATGGAGATTGTAACCTGCTGTTTCTGAATTCCGCAGCCAATATCTGGAAATTTCCAGGCATTCGCGCACGGAAGTCACATTTTGAGCAATCCAGACCACTCGAATATGACCATCTATGGCAATGCGAACGGTTGAAAATTTGATGATTTGCTGTTTGGATGCCGAATCTACGTTTTACACCTGACTTCAGTTCCATTTTTGGAGCATGATTCGAAAATTTGAGGAAAAATCTGACCAATTTTCTGGTCTATTTCATCAAAAACATCATTTTTGAGAAAACTGAGTAAATTCATCCAATTCTCCTTAATTCGCTCTTTCTAGCGGTACTTTATATACACACAGAAACTGATTTGTGACATTTCTACAAACCGCTGAAAACGACCGAACTTATTTTCTAGCCAGCCTAATATTTTGTTCCCAAAAATTCTCTTTGGAGGTAAGTTAATGGGGTGAGGCACAACCCCAGCAAAGCTATGGCTGCTAAACCTTTTTAGAACCCCATAAACTTACCTTCAAATCATTCAAATATTTGTTTCTTTTTATTAGATTGTAAAGAAAGTTCCCGGGCACTTTTGGAAATTTCATTTTTAAACGCATTTTTTCGGCGGTCGGTCGGAGTTTGACACCAAGTTTTTTATACTGTTCAATAGAGAAAGTCTAAAGTTTTCAACACGTCTTCTGATTTTTAACGATGCCAAGACGTGTTTGATCTGCACGTCAAGAAGAAAAATCTTACCAACCATAAAAACTTCACAACTTTTCTTCCTACGGGTCCTTTTTCGTGCAGTTCAAAGAATTTAGTCCAAATTATGGGTGATCTGACTGAGAAGCCTGTTGACTACTGACCCACAGCTGCACTCAAGTTTTGCGAGTTGTGCTCAGAAATTATAGGCTGTCGAACATGCCTCTGACTGCAACTCTTTTCGAAGCTGGCGTCACTTCTGCGGGATCGCCACGCCTGGATGACAAGTCCAAATGACGTGTGAGGCATCACGCCAACAATGTTCGCAGTGATCAAAGATTTAGTCTACCCTGCGCAAATCGACAAGACTTCAAAGTCATCTACTCGAAAAATGGGGCATTATTGGGGGCAAAAAATGATCGATTTTTCAAACTTTCTGGAAAAACTTTTTTGCATATGGTCGCTCAAAGGCGTTCGACGTTGACCGTCCAATAGGTAAGGAGGCTTTCCGCAAATGCGTCGTTGATATTGCTCATCGCTGTCTTCGCGTTCATTCCTCTACGGAACTCGTAGTACATGATGCTCCTGAACGCTCTTGTGAGAGAGACATCATCAAATGCCAAAGTTAATCAATATCGCTTTTATACTGATACGATGTTAGCTCAATTAAAATTCCAGAAGATTCACTTGAATTTGGAGTCGTGTTTTGAACATGTTAAGATTATGGACTTCCAAAAGAATATTGGCAAAACTTTTTTTACAGCCTAAGTAAAAGTTGCTTAACGAATTCAGCGCAATTTACTCTCTGGCAAAGAAAAATTTCCATCCACTTTTTAGACTAATGAAACTTTTTGAAAATAGGGAGAAGATCCCAAAACATTGTATCCCAAAAACATTGTATCCCAAAACATGTGACATAGCAGGCGATGCACAGGTGCGGAATGTATGCAGAAAAATTTCAGGTTTCTGAGATGGAGAAAACACAAAAACACCAAAGACCTTCACTTTTGCCCTTTTAAAAAACACTGATGTCCACCAATTCTTCCAAACCTTCCAACCTTTGACTTAAGAGGTTTCTTATAGAGTTCGCTTACACATTCTATAAACTTTGCGTCATCGCGAAGCGTGACCGATTACGAAACTGTCAAGCATTTCAAACTTTAACGTTACGTTATATGCTTGAGGCTATAGCTATTTGCTACTTTGTGTGACGATAATTTGTCGATATGATCAGTTGTTGAGACGCAAGATTACTGACTGATAGAATAAATGAAGGTGTCATTTTAATTTTCAAAAAAAAAATTCAGCAAATGAGAATTGCGGTTATCATCTGCACATCTCTATGCTTTTGCGAAACAGAAGCGAGAGTAGTCAATAACACAGAATTCGTAGAATTACTAGTGCCGGTATACTGTAATGCAACGTTACTTCCAAGTGTGGATGTGGATGTGCAAAGAGTTCAGGTAAGAATCAGTATTTCGAGAACTTCCAAATCCCAGAGTTCACAATGATGTTTTTAGGCTGGCTGCGACATAACATTGCGTTTTCCCGGAAGATCTAAGAGCAAAATGTGGCTGCGTGCAGTGGTTGAAGGACAAGGAAGCGAACAAACAGTATCCCAGGAGGCTTTTCAAGACTGTGGATATGAAGTAAAGAAGTTGCGCCAAATTTACCATAAGATGTGCTACGGATTTGCTTCGATATACTTCACGGTAAGCTCTTGCGCGTTTCTCGTGAATAACCAATATTATCTTGAAGGCAGTACCCAGGCTAAGTCTAATTCCCTCAGATTGATTCCGATCCTGAATATAGGCCCTAAGGAAAGGACATCTGCATTGGTTTTCTCTAATGTTTTCTCTAAATGGAAATAATGGATCTGGAACAGCGAAAGTGCTATCAAGCCACGCCCAGATCCTATCAAGCCCCGCCCAGCCAGGAACTGTGTCCCGACATATTGACATGGTAGTGAGCAGAACTGCACACTGCACAGTGCAGTGCAACTCATCATTCAGTTGCAGCTCTTTCCCGCTGGCATGCCGGCGGGGACGAACAATCCGAAAGTCGTCCGCACAGTGAAGAGAGGGTCGTCCCCAAGAATCGGGTTTTTAGGGGGGTTTTGGACAATTTGAACTTCATAACTGTAATCAGGGCCACGGAAAATCCCCAGAATGGCAAAACATGGGAAGCGAAAACTTGGGTGGACGCTGCCTTCGAGAGATTGTTGATATAAACGGAGATTTGGTTGCTTTAGGGTATCTCCAATTTGATGTGATTGCACGGCAACAATTATTAGGGTAATTGGTAAAAAGGGGACAGCTTGATTTTTACTACATTTTGGGATTTTTTACTTCGATCATCAAAAAGCAGGCTGCAGCTCACGTTGCTTACATAAGCGACCTTCGTCTATACTCTGATAACGCGTTAACGCTCCTCTCTCACAACACGTGGCGCCATAAGGAACTCGAACACGGATTTTTTTTCTATCAATCTTGTGCTGCTATACCATAAACTCATGAAACAAATGACATACATTTCGAAAGAGCTTTTCATGCTCTTTCAAATGGTGTGTTAGATCTATAAGATTGCTTTTTATTCCAGATAAAAAGCAAAAAACCTGAAAAATCGTGGTTTGGGGCAACAAAAACCAAAAAATCATGCTTCACTCTTTACTTTCCATAGATAGATGAAAATTGGGTTAAACGTACATGGGTGGGCAGAGCGTAAAGAGCTCTATCAGATGGTATCCAACAAGCCATCATGGGTTGTGATGTCTTCACCCATTGCAGTAGTGGTACTTTGGATGATCTCACATGCTTTACTGCACAGATACTGCTCAAAATTTATTTGTCGGAGTGATTAACTTTCATTTCAGCAAGTACAAAAATTATTAAGTATGTGAATGACATTATATAGGTGTTGTCTGGGAGAAAATGATATATTCTAATATCTTTCAAAAATGGAAAGTCCGATCATTTCTCCTTCTTGAGAAATCTACAGTTATTCTCTGAATTTCCCATTTTTCACCGTTCAGCTCAATAATTCAAATCAGTAATTTTTCAGCGGTGATGATCTTGCATATCTTATCTATAAAGCTGAATGTGTGTCTGTATGTATGTATGTATGTATGTACGTATGTGCAGAATAGAAATTTTTATTTAAACTTGGCACACATACACTTCGGGGCAGGAAGCGTGTCATAGGCTACTTTTCGTTATCGATCGATATCGATTTTATCGATTTTTTGCAAAATTTGAGCTACGGGGGTGGGAGTTGGCACAGGGGGTAATCGAGCACACTGATTACAACTATGTTATTGACAGGGCGGGCGGAGCCGGGTTTGCCAACTAGTCCTCAATAATTGTATCATCTTGCAATATATCAGGCTGTCCCATAAGTTCCGTCCGTTGTGTCTTCCAATCGCGGTCCTGAAGTCCATGAAGTCCTTGATTCCAAATAGGTTTTTAGTTACTATTTAATAGAGCAAAGCAAGTCTACAAAATAAGTTTCTTGCTTCCGCACCAGCTTGAATCCATTTCATTTTTGAAGCCAAAAACCAAAATGATCCAAAGCCCGAAAAATAAATAAAAAATTGTAACGTCAAAAGAATCCTAAAAAAATTCTTAACTTGCTCACAGATACACTATTCACATCAGACATTTATATATATATATATATATATATATATATATATATATATATATATATATATATATATATATATATATATATATATATACTAGTATATATATATATTATTGCATTACTTTTTTCGTTCAGTAGAAGTCAAGATAACTAAAGTTTTCATGTTTTTGCCAAAGTAATGCTTTGTCCCCACATTGGTACTTGCATACTACAAACCAATACCAGTACAGACATAAATTTTCAGCGCTTTACAGGTTTTAGTTCTCGTAAAATATTCGTTTTGGTATAGGACACCCAACAAAGCGAAGCTAAAACCGATGTTTCTCGAGAATTAAAGCCTGTAGAGCGCTAAAAATCCATGTCTATACTTGTACTGGTCTGTAGTGTGCAACTAGCAATGTGGAAACAGCACAGCATTACTTTGGCAAGAACATGAAAATTATCGTTTTCTTGATTTTTATCCAAGGAAAAGATATAGCAACAGATATATATTAGGTTGACGCAATTCCTGCACCAAAATAGGTACAGACCGCAATAACTCGGAATAATCCTGTATCCCAAGTAGGATTCGATATACCATTAGATAGAGCAAACCTAGCTCTACAAGACAGTGCCTAAAGTTTTGCAGCAGTCATTTCGTATAAGACATCTCTCTATGCAGTTGTTGTATTTTTCTTTTAGCTAGAAATTGAGAAAACGAAGGTTTTCACGTTTTTTTTCCAAAACGCTGCTGGCATGTTCTAGCACTGACAGCTGTATACCATAGGACCTTAGAAGCGTAGTTCAGCTAGTTTACGAATAATATCGAATTTTTGGCAACTAAGCAAGAAAAATTTCGGATGAAGAGAGCTAAATTCGTCATTTCTCGTGAACTAGCTGTTTTAGAAGGTTGAAAATGCAAAATTTCACTGCTAATGGCATGTACTATACAGCTGTTAGTGCTAGAACATCTCAGCACTAATTTGGCAAAAACATGAAAAATTTCGTTTTCTCATCATCTAGCTGAAGAAAAAATACAGGAACCGCCTAGATAGATGTCTTACGTGGAATATCTACGCGTGAGCAAGAAGGGAATTTTGTAACAAAGTCATAATTTTGTCTTGATTGGTCTTAAGGTTTTCGGACGCATGGTTTTTTTTTCCGTTTTCGGTTTAAAACTTCGCATGGATCAAAGCTGGTGTAGATACTTGAGCACTTTCTTGTTTAGTTAGGTTTGCGCTATCTAATGATATATCGACCTACTTGAGATATAGGATTATTCCGAGTTATTGCGGTCTGTACCCATTTTGGTGCAGGAATTATGCATCAACCTAATAAATGCCCAGGGCTCGGCACGAGGTGGCTTACAAGCAAGCTGGATATCGTTTTTGGGACGAAAAGCAAAGGGGGTTTCGTTTTTGTGACCGAAGAGACACGGAAAATTGGCGACGGCGACCTTTTTTTTTAGTCGACGTTTCGTTTTTTGGGGGATTTTGGGGAATTTTTCAGGTTTTTAGAGGAGATTTGGTTGAGGGTCAAAGGGGACTTCGTAAAAATTCCCAAAAGTCAAGGGGGACTTCGTTTTTTTCCATTTTCATCTAGCCACCTCGTGCCGAGCCCTGTAAATGCCTGATGTAAATAGTGTATCTGTGAGCAAATTAGGAATTTTCTGGTTTTTTGGACGGAGTTAGACTTTTTAAATTTATTTCTCGGACTTTGGATCTTTTTGTTTCTTGGCTTCAAAACTGTGATGATTTGAATTGGTGCGAAAGCAAGAAGCTGATTTTGTAGAGCTTGCTTTACTTTATAGAGTGGTACATGGAAACCTATCTGGAATCAAGAACTTCATGATTTATTACAATTAAAAGGTAAAACGGATGGAACTTATGGAGCAATGATATAATAGGCACAACTATGAGTACAATTTCTTCCAAATGCATTAGTCCACCAAAACAAAGTCTGTTATTTTCATTCAACAACAAACATTGCGCTTGCGTTTTAGTAAAGAAATTGGAAAAATGTATCAAACAGATCTAAAATTGCAGCAGTAGAGTCTTCCAAAAGATGAATCAAAAGAATAAACTATCCAAAAAATGGCCGTAACGCTTCAAGTGACGCACGTGCCATCGCTCGCGCTACCTCCTCATGAAAGCGATTAAAGTGAGAATTTGTAATAAAACTACACCACGAATGGCAATAAAGGTTTCGGTGAAGTCTCTGTGAGGGTTGACCCCCGAAGCGCCAGTAAGAAAAGAAGCATGTTGAGGGTAGTAAAGTATGGATTAGATTAATTTGTGCGTCACTCCCCATGTACAATTAAGATCAATATAGGATTTTGTGAAGTGCGTTATTTGCATGACTGAAGTATTTGTTTCATGCAGAGGAAGTTGCGAAGGTTTGCTACGATAAAAAGCCCAGGAGTTCTTGAGTTACGTAATCTTACGATGGAGGATTCTGGAATATACCAAGCACGAAGCGGGGTAAGTTGAAGTCAGTTAATTTGCGACATCAAAAATGGAGTTTAGCTTTTCGAAATCCAGGTTTCTTTCTTGAGATAGCTTGCATTTTTCATATAAGCCAAAACAGGTCAAGTTGACAGAAAATACGTCAGTATGCAAAAAAAAACAACTGGCGTTTTCTTTCCAAACTCAGCAAAGCAAAAAAGCACTGACATTTCTTAAAACGGTACATTTCCGTTATCCGGGATCATTTTTACAAAGAAGAATATTTCTTCTTTCCTTGCACAACATTTGGTTCCAACTTCATCTTATATATAAAGCTGAATGTCTGTTTGTCTGTCTGTATGTCTGTCTGTATGTCTGTCTGTCTGTATGTGTGTACGTATGTTCCGAATAGAAAATTCCATTTCTGAACCGATCCGGACCAAACTTGGCACACATACACTTCGGGCCCCGGCGGGTGTCATAGGCTACTTTTCGTCATCGATCGACATCGATTTTATCGACTTTTATCGATTTTTTTTGCAGAGTTCACCTACGGGGCTGGGAGTTGGCACAGGGGGGTAAGCATGGGGATTCCGAATATTATATTAGTTTTCAGGATTATTGATTACTTTTATCGATTTTGTCGTTTTTTTTGCAAAGTTTGAGCTACGGGGCTGGGAGTTGGCACAGGGGGTAATCGAACATGGGGATTCCGAATACAATATTAGTTTCCAGGATTATCGACTACTTTTATCGATTTTATCAATTTTTTTGCAAAGTTTGAGCTACGGGGCTGGGAGTTTGCACAGGGGGTAATTGAGCATGCTGATTACGAGTTTGATATTAGTTTGGCGCTATTCGGCTAACCGGACCCCAAAATTTTTTTGTCGTAGAGGCTTGCTTAGATTCGTGTATAAGGGTTATCTTACATGCCGATTAAGGATATCTCACTTTCTTCGCAGAAAGTCTCCCCATGTGTTTACGATAGATGTACGGTAGGAAGTCAAAATCATGAATTCGGCTCGAGGAGTTCGGTCCAGAGAACTTATTCGACATGCTGATTATGAATTTCATACTCTCTCTGCATATTGGGACCTCTTCATAGAGTTATAGTGGTTATATACGGCGTGGGGTCGAAAACATAGATTTGCTTCAAACTTCGTCTAGGGTGATCATTTAGCGCGCTGAACATGAACATCATGTTGATTTCGCAGGATTTTCGTGCATTTTCTTGGGTTACGGTGGGTGTAAATGGGTCGAAGTTCCAAATTTGCTCAAAACCTTACCTGTAACGGTTCACAAGTACACTGCTTATGAATATGAAACTTGCTCGCTGTCATAACGGATTAGTGAAGTTATGGTGAGTTGCAGGATTTGAATGGACAGGGCCAATTTAAATCCCAGATATTCATGGAATGGGGAAACGGTCGTTTTGTATGGCGGTCTCCCGCGCCATCCTGATAACCTGTCCCAACGTGTAACGCACGCGGCAAATCTCCCTCTCCCTGTTTTTGCTTAGGCAAAAGCCGCCGAAGGGTGTATCGCACGCGGCAAATCTCCCTCCCCTATTTCTGCTTAGGCAAAAGCCGCCGAAGGGTGTATCGCGCGCGGCAGTGGTCCTATAAGGAAAGCATTACGGTCGTGGGAAACTTTAATACCACACGAACTGCCTTTATCGCGGGGATTGAGCACGATATTCTTTAAACAGCACTTTAGGTAATTCCCTGCCAAGGTTCAGGCAGGTTTATGATTTTTACCCGCTGCCACGCGACGACTATGAATTGTCATCAGCGGCTCAAATAACCCCCATATACCGCGTTTGAGCAAGATCCGTTTTGGGGCCCGGATAGCCGAATAACGCCATCAGTTTTTAGAGTTATCCTTATTTTATCGATTTTATTGCTTTTTTGTGCAAAGTTTGAGCTATGGGGCTGGGGGGTTGGTGAGGAAGGTAGGTGAGCATATTGATTACTCACGCAGCGGGAATAGGGAATGTAGAAGTGGGCACAGGTTAAGGTGTACAGGGAAGAAATGGAACCTTTATCGTTTTTGACAGGGCCGGGCGGAGCCAGGTAAGCCAGTTAGTAGGAGATATTGTCAATCTTCTGCCACATGTCAAGAGAATTTGAGATGCCATCTACACGTTTAACAGTTTTCACCAAAAATTTGTGTTGGCCTACCTAGCAACGTATTTAAAGCTGTTATCTAGGTATTATGGCCCGGTTGTCGACTGAACTATCAAAAATGAACACCGTTATGATTATAAAGCCATCTTGTTATCAAAAAACAGATTGGCTGCCCAGAATGTGCGCTAGGGTACCATCATGTTATACGAAACAAGGGGCAGCGAGGTATTTCAAACCATCCTTCTTTATACACTGTGCGCCAAAATTACCGGCGTAAACTTTACAAACACTGCCACGAAGGAACCATTGAGAGATACAAGCTCAGATTTGTGCCATAGAAGGCACCAATCTCTACAAAACACATTGAATATGAAAAGACCTCTTTTCAAGAATTTGAGAATCAAAAAAATTAGCCCGGTATTTTTAAGAAAGGCATTGATGAAATATTTATACCTTCTTTGCTCTGTAACTCAATAAACTCAAAGCCTTTCTAGATCCCTTCAACCTGAGATTGTAGAGCACAATTTGCACTATCACATAGGTCTAATTACATCTGCAGAATTTGTTCTTTCACGAAGTAGGAAAATGTCTTTGCGAAAAATACCTGCGTACGAGCAATGACCTTATGTTCAAGACCGATTATTAGGCCCCAAATATGCAAAACCTTTCAGTTAAAAACAGTTCCCTATTTGTGAGACAAGTAAAAAAGCATTTAAATAAAAGCGACTAGCTGAGATACTTTTGAATCTGATTTGAAAGACATTTTCTGATCGTAAGCCGCATTCAGGAAGGCCAAAATTACGCCGATTATCGTTGTGCCGCCTCTCAACCATGTTTTTGAATAATCAGAAATTCTCTTCTGATTTTCAAATTTCCATGTAGCTGTATTAGAGCTGAAGGCTTGCTCTATTTTCGTGCGCAATTATAAAGCAAGAGAAAATGTTGTTAAAATGATGTTACAATTTCTCAAATTCATGCTTGCGTACAGAGCACACTTCGGTCGGCGAGTGAAATTGGGGTTGTTTCGAGGGATAAAGCAGCTAAATTCTGATTTGACTATGTCATTACGATAATGATGGTTGGTGGAGATACTCGATCCGTCTTCAAACCCATCTAGGATCCTTCTGGCACCCAAGGAAACACGCGCCGGTAATTTTGGCTCACCCTGTAAAGCTGAATGCCTGTTTGTCTGTCTGTCTATATGTATGTACGTATGTTCCGAATAGAAAATTCCATTTCTTCGATCAGGACCAAACTTTGCATACGTACACTTCGGGGCGGGGTGACTGTCGGCTATTTTATGGATATCGATTTTATTGATTTCATTTGTAAAGTTTGACCTAAAGGGTTTGGAGTTTGCATAGGTGAGTAATCGAGCATGCTGATTAATACGATATTATTATAGTTCCTAGGACTGTCTATTATTTTAATCGATTTTATCGATTTTTTTGTGAAGTCTGACCTAAAGGGCTTGGAGTTGGCATAGGGGGGTAGTAATCGGGCATGCTGATCACGAATGCAATATTGGTTTTTAGAATTGTCTGTTAATTCTGTCGTTTTATCGATTTTTCTTGCAATTTTAGAGCTACGGGGATGGGAATTGGCGCAGGGAGTATGTGAGTAAGCCTGATCACTAAACAGTGGGAATAGGAAATTAGCATGTAAAAGTGGGCACAGGGAAAGGAGTACAGGGCCGGGAATGGGGCCCAGGGCCCGGCACGCGTTGGTTTAAAGCTTTCCTGAAAACGAAGTCCCTCTTGACGTAAAAATCAGTAAGGAAACCTTTATTCAATTAAAATAACAATAAAAAGCGAAATGCGCATTTTGAGGTATCTAATATTAGGTCATTCCGAAAGTAATTTCGCTTTTTTCAAACGGACCCCACATGTGATGGAACAAAAATTTCTAAAAGATCTTGGAAGCATTCGATGCAGAATTTCATTCTCTTTCTAATGGTTATAAAATTGTTGCCAAACAGTCAATGAGCTTTCAGAAAATAACCAAAATCTACGACCCATGCTTTTTGAGATGGTCAAGTTTTACGACTTTTTAAAACTTTCATATCAATCCTCAGAAGGAGTTCAAGTAAAGATTCGATAGAGTAAACCTTTTAAAATACAGTACTACTTTTTTCTCTTCCTCGTATCTCGCCGTAATATTTTTTTAGATTTTTTAAACAGAACTATCGGATTCTGGCAGGCCCACCTCAGCCACAATCGCATCAAACATCATGATTTTTCGGAATTTGAGACTACCAAGATGATACTATGAGTTAGCATTAATTTTACAAAGCAAGTGAGGGTTTACGGGTTTAAAATATCAAATTTCAAGTTTTTTGGGAACAGCCTGGGGCTCGCTAAAAAAATGAGTTGTAATGTTTTATCCCCGAAAGCTAAACGAATCGGAAACAAAAAACACCTGTTAGAAAGAGGAGAAAATTCTGTATCGAATAGTGCGCGAGCTGCCTTTCTTTTGATGTTCTACGAGGATTTAGCTGCTCAAGTATGGAAATCGGCAGCATCAGTTAAAATTCTGTTAAAAATGTATGACAAGCTATGGAACGGAGAAAAAATAATACTGTATCCTATAAGGTTTACTCTATCGAATCGTTACTTGAACTCCTTCTGAGGATTGATATGAAAGTTATAAAAAATCGTGAAACTTGACCATCTCAAAAAGCATGGGTCGCAGATTTTGGTTATTTTCTGAAAGCTCATTGACCGTTTTGCAACAATTTCATAACCGTTAGAAAGAGAATGAAGTGCTGCATCGAATGCGGCCAAGATCTCTTAGAAACCTTTGTTCCATCAAATGTGGCGCCCATTTGAGAAAAGCGAAATTACTTTCGGAATGACCTAATATAAAAAAAAAACATTCTTGTTAATCAACGGCTCCGTCATTGAGTATGCTACTACCAGTGTTCAAAATGTTGAAAACCTCTTAGACCAACCAAATTCTGTGCTCTCAACAATCTGTGCATTTTTCGCCACATAGTTCAAAGGACACTGCATGTGATTTGAGCGCGATATCTATCAACCGTAGAATTACGCTACTTTTGGTTCAAAAAAAGAGAGGCAATGGTTTGATCCGCTCTCTTCACTATATGATAGATTTTTGACCGTTCTAATGATCCAAATCAAAAAGGTCCAAAACTAATGTGAACTTTCCGATATTTATGCTCCGAACCAACCCAGTTGGTTTGGTGTAGGTCTAGAAACCAACAAATTCGGGAACAAATATTAGGACACATAAGTTTTTGAAACTTTTTACATAACTTGTTTGGAGTAATATTGTATACACATAGCCCAAATTCGGAGCAAGATTGTTTGTGCGCTGTAAACAAGCCATTTATTTGTTTGAGTTTTGCGTTTGAAATTCGCGCGCTTGCGAAAGAACTCGTTCAACTCGTAATACCTGGCATGCTGTCATTTTTTGGCGCTTCCTCCAGGACCTTATACAAACGATATCCTCGTTGCTTCAAACTTCAAAAACGAAGTCCAGTTTGACCCCAAACCATCTGTGCCGAGCCCTGGTGGGGCCTTCAACTTTGACAGGGCCGGGCAAGGTAAGCCAGCTAGTCATTTATAGCCTTGCCTAAATAAATACGCGTAGAGGAAAGAGGTTGAAAAGAAGGATTTAGATCATTGTTGAAAGCAATCAAGATGTTCTAACACAAATTCTAGATTGTTTTGTTCATAAAGAAAACAGTAAACAGCTTTTAGGCGATTCCAAATCCTCATTTACTCACCATGAATGATCGCCAAAGAAACATGTCAATGTGAACAAACGTGTCAATTTTTTTCCTAACACGTGGCAGAAAGTCAATCCTCGTAGAATCTATGGAAAATTGCTCTTAAACCAAAGAATGTATTTCGTGAGAGCCTTTTATAGCAATGGGTGCGGATAACGGAAAAGTACCCTTGAAACGGTACAAAGTAACTTTAAATTTTCAAGTTTTTTTTGGTTCTAAACAACAGCAGTTGTAGCTGAGCAAATGGAGACTGCATGGCTATCAACGCCTAAAGTGTGTCCAGAATGTATAATTTGCTTGAGATAAGGCAGAGATTTTTTTGAAACTGTAGAGACGACTGTAGCAACATGAGCTCTCCTCTTTCCTTATGTTTCCACTATAATTGCATGATTTATCATTTATTTTTCATTATTCATTTCCTTATCATTTCAGCGTTCATACAACGAATTCACTCTACAAATTGAGAAGCCACACTTCAAACTGAAGGTTATGAATGTGAATGTCACAGGGAATTGATATAGATATAGCGCCTTATTTTATTCGCTACTTCACTAGTGACTTCTATTTTGGCTATGTATGTAATAAGCTGCAAAAACTTCTTTTCCAGGGGACGGTTATTCTTTCGTTAGAGTTGTACCTCAGCTAAGAATAAAACTCGCATTTTGGTAGTCAGCGACTATGTGTTCAGATCTTTTCAAGATTTGTTCAAAGAAGTTTCAGTTTTAATAGTTTTCGTATGCCGTACAGGTTGTTATGAACACTTACCGTCTGACGCTTCGGCTACACGTTGAATTTATGTTTTTAACGTCGAATGTCTCCTCCTGCCTGTTAACTCGAACGGTCCGTAGTAGAAGCAACGAGGTTGGGAGCCGAATTTCCCAAAAGTCTCGATTAGCAGAGATTAGCTGCTAGTCGTGCTCTGTAGACCATGACGTCGAAAATGGTAGCCTCGATAGGACAAACCTCTTTTGTGAGACATCTTTTTGGATGTCTTTTATTGTAGTATCTGACAACATTGAGACTGTTCACACGACTTTCTACGTCATATCATAGAAGGCATTCTACAGTCCGTGTCAATGACGTGCTCTCTTTCCCGTAAATGCAATGAGCTTCGCGCCACTTCGCGCGCGTATGACTTGGGCATTCAAGTGGGCCTTATCGATTGGAGGTCCGCATGCAGGACCCTGCATTGCGCATGCGTAGTTCCCATGCGAAAGGGAGTACGTAATTGACATCGACTGTACTCCCGCGCGGGACTCTGCACCTTCCGCGAACATACTCCCAAGTCATTTGCAATCGATTGATGCTACGCCTTTCCTCGCTCGCGGTGAAAAATGATAATAGAGCATGTTCGCGAAAGAAACGTGCAGTCCAAACGAGTCGGTCGCGCGAGAGCGGAGAGCTGTTGCACCCAATACTGCTTTTGATAAACCCTGTACATGTTTATGCATAAGGCTAAAACGGTCTGCTCTATCAATAAAGGCATCGCGTGCAGATGATTAGCAGCACCTCCGGACAAGTTTAAAACAGATAAATAGTTCAGAAGTCAATTTAACCCATACTGCAGTTCACTTTTTCTTTACAAAGACAGCGACTATAGACAATGAATGTTTCTGCTTTTCATATTTTTACTGAAAAAAGAAGGCGAACCAACAGACAACAACAAGACATATGTGCATATCTCTCCTTTATATCCTTTTGGAAAATTGTTGTAATTTGTCAGTGATTGTATGTATTTGTAAACATATAATGTGAACAAGTAAGGATACAGCAAACATGGTATTGCGAGGTAACCGCTCTTGCTGCGTCCGGACATCAGGATGTGACGCGATCAAGCTACCGCTTATTCCTTCCCCCTGCAAGATGCGTGTGGCGCCAAAGCGTTGTCTCTGGCAGCATTGTCCCGACACATAATGCAGTTTCGGACTTGTGTAGCGCGGTCTTCCGCCCTTACACAAAACTTTGGGCTGCGCGAGTCAACATCGAATGCCTGATTGTGAGTATCTGACAATGAGTACATAGCCCCTAATACTGCACGTCAAAATTTACAATCGCTTCAACGCATGATCACAGCTCAACCAAACAGTAAACTTAACTCTACTTAAAGGCAGCGTCCAGGCAGATCCGAGCTCGACGACCACGCCCACTTCCCTCGGACGGCCAACCCCTTATGAACGAAATCTCCTCAGCCTTGACGTGTTTTCACATGACCAACACAGTCAACTTACAGCGTTTACCTGTTAATACTTGCTTTCGACAAGGATAACATCAGAAGCACTCGTCCGGATTTTCCCAAAATAGCCCCAAAAGGTGGTTTTCTGAGAAATTCACGCTTTTTGAGTTCCATATTCGGAGTCAGCGCAATGGAAAGGCCTGGATAACATAAAAATATAGAAGTCGAGAATCTGCCTGGACGCAGCCTAAACGAGCTCGACGACCACGCCCACTTTCCTCGGACGGCCAACCCCCTATGAACGAAATCTATTCAGCCTTGACGTGTTTTCACATAACCAACACAGTCGAACTTACAGCGTTTACCTGTTAATACTTGCTTTCGACAAGGATAACATTAGAAGCACTCGTCCGGGTTTTCCCAAAATAGCCCCAAAAGGTGGTTTTCTGAGAAATTTACGCTTTTTGAGTTCCATATTCGGAGTCAGCGCCATGGAAAGGACTGGATAACATAAAAATATAGAAGTCGAGAATCTGCCTGGACGCTGCCTTTAACACATCCACCGAAAGACTAAGGCTCGTATGCACGTACATCCCCGCGGGGAGGGGATGTGCGTTTAACCATTGAAATGATCCCCGCTGGGGCTCCCCTCCCTTCCCCACGCGAACCCCCGTATGCAGAAAGACAATACAAGAGAGGGGATCCCCTGGGAGTAGGGTAGGGGAGTCCCCTTATGCAAAAGGGGAGATCGAGCGGGGAATTCATTTTGCTTCCGCTTTTTTGCAGTAATTATTCCTTTTTTCTTATCTTTTGATAGCTACTCGCCTTCAATCTGTCTCGGCGATATTTAGTCGTTGCGGAATGCCGTCTGCCGTGATTGCGGTCTGCGCACTAAAGAAATATTTCCTACATCCATTATATTCCAGCTGTTTTCATGGATGCTGCTCATTTTCGCCCATGCTGCCCATTTCAGCGTAAAGGTGTTCAATAATAGAAGTCAAGGTGTATCTGCAGCGAATCGGTAGAAGACGTTATGCTGCCGAGAAAAAAAAGGGGGGGGGGGGTGCCGCGGATATCCAGCATTTCTACACATAATTGAAGCTGCAAATCGTGCCAGCTCTCCATAAACGCTAGCTATCAGCTGTATATCGTCCTTTACCCCGGGGAATGATACCAGCGCCATCCCTGGAACGATGGAGAGGGGATCACTCCCCGAGGATCTCTACTCAGAAACACGCGAGTCTGCTAATTTTCATTTTATTCAAAGCAGTTTTACGTTAGGATAACAAGATAAAGACAACTTATCATATAATGTGATAGTTACAATATGTTGTACCAGCTTTAACGAATAAAACTATCATGTCAAATAAAAAATGCGCAACTCTCGTGAATGCTCACAAACTTCTACAGATATTCAAAATTGGCAGATATATGTTCGGATTTCTTTACAAGAAGCGAATATGGAAGAGAGAGTTAAAACTGCAAGCTACAGGTCGCTGAGAGAGGAACCCGGCTCCCGTAAATAATCTTTCATCAATTTGAACGAAATGCTTTGTAATAATTGATTGAAATCAGAATACTCGCTTCTCTGGCTTGACCTACACCATCGAACCCGTTGTAGGGGATGATCCCCTCCCCCGCGTTGTTGAGTTAAATTCGCGCATACGGGGTTCGAGTGGGGCCCTTCCCTCCCCAGCGGGGATGTACGTGCATACGGGCCTAAAATGCGATCGACAACACTAAAAGTATTACAAGAGCGCTGCGGTTACACAATACAGACAATGATTATTTAAGCGTTTTTTCTTGATTTTCCGAAGGAAAATACTGGCAATCATAACACTCAGACACAGTATGTAAAGTTCATAAAGAACCAGAATTGTAACCATTTTCGGGAAAACCCAAGCATGGATTCTTTTTACTTTTCGAGAAATCTTATGATTTTTAATGAACTGCTTGAATAAGTAAACCGCTGATAGATAACCTAATTCTGAATGCTCTACGCCGTGAACTAGCGAGTGGTGACGTTGACCCGATAACGTGCTTCAAACTAATTTTACAGAATTTAGAAGTTTCAAGAAACTCTTATCCCACGACGAAAACCATTGGCACCCTGACAGTGAGTTGCCACATGCTTTGTTCCAACGCAGTCTTCCTTAGCATTGTGCTCTGTGTCTGACTTGTCACCTGCACGCGCACAATAAGCTTTGCTAGGTCTATGTTGAAGGCCAGATGAACATGAAGAGATAGGGTATCACTTTTAAGCTCATCCGGGAGATCATCCGCAAAGAGAGATGTTTTTAGAAATCTGTTGCGGGAATTAAAAATCAAAAATCTTAACATAATCGAACTGCCACCAAAAGAGGAACATAGGTAATCGCCAAAGGAACAACTTCGCGGAGAGCGACCACATTCTCTACGTCCAAAGGTGGAGGTAGCTTGCAAAGGTTTCGGTAGCTTCATCCTTTCGCCGCCGACCACAGCGTCTTCGACCAAGACTACGGCTCATTCAAAAGGGAAAGAAGCTTCTCGGTGGCGGCGAAAGAAAGAACGAGGTTGATGAGGTAGCAGCTGGAAGAGCTTGCATCAAGTGATAAATGGCCCTTGAGGAGGACCCAACGTACGACTACAACCAGTTTCTAAGAGGTTTGCAAGCAGCTGAGAGTGCGAGTGAAGTAGTCGAAGGAGAAAATTTGCAGGAGTGCCAAAGAGACCTCTGCAAGTATCAGTACCGCTAATAGCGCTGCTAAACGAAGACGGAGCCCCGACTTCTCCCCGACAAAAGATGAGATCTATCGCGAACATTAAGCTCCTACTCGTCATAGCCCGTGCCAACTCCTGGGCCGGTAGTAATCTACCCTACCTGGTGGCATCATAGATGCCGGCAAGCTGGCACACATCGTGGAAACATGCCAACTCCGCCGGTAGCTCGCCGAGTGATTATAGGTTTCAATAATCTTATGTAACCTTAGCACGCAATCATTTCGCACATCAAATTTTGACGACCCAGACAGCCGCAAAATTGCTACCTCACCCGCGATCGAACCTATGTGCGTTAACTTGAAGTGCCACCACGTTAACCGCTTGACCATTCTGTCAGCCATTGCCGTTTGCACCAGCAATAGGAGGAACGCGCTGGTAAATTGCTGCCTGTAAGAGGGATCGATACAATGCGTGAGAAACTTTGACCTGAAAGAACAGCTGATTGATACGAGCGAAAGAGGGGCGAAATCGGTGCAAACGAGATTTATAAGGGAGTGCCAAAAAAGATAGTGTTCTTTATGATTTTAGGGCATTACTGGATTTTTTCTCTGTAAGAAAATTGTCGTTTCAAAAAAGAAAAACT